CAGTTTTGATTCTGCCTCAGAGCTATTTCCTAAACTGAAACAGTAGCTCTTCAGCATGGCTAACAAACTTATCAAGAATTGCTCTGATTGGTCAGAATACATGTGAAAGCGTTTTAGCGTGAACACATATTCACCCTGGATGCATATGCAGACTGAGCATGGACTGTTCACCATGTGGTCCTTGTTATAATGCCTGCTTCAGCTTTGCAGCTCCAAGGAAACCTGTCCAAGTGATCCAGCGGTCTGGGGAAAAATTGAACATTCCTCAGGATCATCTGCTTTTCAAGTGGCGCCAGGCTGAAGACTGAAGCCAGCGTATGAACCACAACGGTTTGATAGATCAAAATTCAATTATAATGCATCTATATAAAAATTGTAACACGTTCCATGTTAACTTTAAAGTCTGTGAGAAAAAAAAGGTGGTTCATTCCAAGAACATTTATCATGTTTGAGATTCAAAAGATGACGTAGAAAGTGGCATACTAAATTCTGTACTTTTGGAATGAGATTTTCATATCACAAATGTAACCATAATAACATATGCATTAATTGCACAATATGTGATGCGATCTGGGAAAACCCGTCGATGTCGCACTGGCACGTTTCGAGTAAATGGTAAAAATAGGTCGATTGTCATTTATTTGGCAAAATTATGTTTTAATTATTATATAACATCTTGTCTTTAATTTCTGAAAATAGGTGAAATTCACTAGTTTTATACATAAAAATTATTGATATGTTTTGATAAACCGAACGTTAACGTTACTTCCTCCGCTCTGACCCCGGGAGACTCTGCGGCCGCTTTGGCAACAGCCGCTTTGGCAACAGCTCAGTGAACGCACTGCCATAACGGGGCTCCGAGCGCGGGCCATAGACACGGACAGAACCATAGACACGCGTTCAGGACAATCCCCAGCTTATTGCAAGTGCAGGTCTCCCCTGTGTCTCCTACTTATGCACAACCAAAACTCACAAAATTAAAGCTCGGGTACCTAATTTTCCCCTTGCATTAAAAATGCATGTTGGTTGTGCGTAGATATTTAAACTGCGTGATTTGATAATATATTGCATAATGATAGAATAATACTGGCATTGTCTAATTATACATATATAATGTTCAGTAACTTACAAAGAGAAAGACACAAAAAAAGAAGGAAAAGTTACGTAAAACAAATTCAAATACATTCTTGATTTTTATCTAATTATTGAGTGTTGTGTGTTTGCTCGGGGCCAAAGTTACATCTATCTTATACAACATAGGGACTAAAATAAGTGTGTGCCATAATAGAGTAATTCAAATTTGATTGTGGTGATTCTATTTAGAATGTCTATCTTTAAACCTGTTTTTCTCAAAATTACGTTTCATAAAACCATGTTAATAAGCTGACTGAGAATGATAACATTTGTTACAGACATGCTATGAAAAAAAGGAAAGCGGATTTGAAAAGGGATTGAAAGCAGCTTTAATATGGAATCAGAATCTTAGGTTGGTCAAATATCACCATGTGATTGGTTTTACAGTGACAGTGCCTAAGTTGGTTGAGCCATTGGCCTTTGAGCTTGAAGGTCGTGGGTTCGAGCCCACCATAAGACCTACTTCTCGACTCCCACTAATGACTGCTGCCATTGTGTCCTTGGGCAAGACACTTAGCCCCACTTTGCCTGATGCTCCCACTGAAAGATCTTGGCTGCTGTGAACTCGCCACCTGCAGGAGGATCAGTGAGAGGGGCTGGTGCTCTGTGTACTGGATGCAGCTCTGACTGCCACCCCCCAACCCAGAAATGGATTAAGGGGAAGAAAATGGATGGATGGATGGGTTTCCCAGATTCCATCACATATACTCTCTGATCCTGTTATTCCTGCAAATTGTTTCCTTTTATTACAGATAACGCATCTTCTCGTGACTCTTACTCAAAAACAATTATTTAGCTCCAGGATAAATGTGTCGATAATGAAATCTTTGCTTGAAAGCAGAGGTCAAGAGGGATGTTTTTGGCCAAAGTGAGATATTTCCTTGGAGACTAGCTAATGAGCAGAAATAGTACTTCAGAGATAAAAGCCCTCCTGAATGTCAGGGCAACACAATATTTGTATCAGTTTTCTGAGGATGAGCATAAACTAAATGTTAAAATTTGGCAGTGATGGCTCTTGTCCTAGTGATATTTGAAAGTGACTCAGATGTCGACCACTGTGCTTGGGGGAGCGGTCTGCACAGCTTGAGCATGATAAACTTACCTTATCGTGTGTGTTTGTGTGTGTGTGAGAGAGAGGTGTATTGAAGTAGTTCTGCCTGAAATGGTTTGACCTTGTCTCTGAGATCCTTATCCTGACAGGTTGTGCACACCGGGAAAATTCACTGGAGTAATGCAGCAAATGAAAACTGGACTGATTTCAATGAAAGAGAATGAGTTTATTTTTGGATGGATTGGCTGCAGGTTGGATTCTCACTTCTATAAAAAAAAATGCCGTTGCTAAAAATGCACTGTCTAATAATTATATTTCTGCGCATTTCTACACTTTGTATTCTTGTATTTGAGATGATGATTGAAGCTATATGCTGTATGTATCATTGTTCAATTTTGTGTGGCCAGACCTAAATGGCTGTGTCTTTGGTCTATGCAAAGCACGGCACTATTGAAGCATCGAGGACGTCGCGATGGATGAGGCAAAACTTATTGAAAGCAATTGGTAAAAATGGATGGAGAGAGAAAAGAACTCAAACATATCCAGACTTTTTTTTAAAGCGAGTCAATATTGACATTACACAAAAATAAACGGCAGATTTACAATCAAGAAACATTTCAATTTAATACATGAAAAAAAATTACACATTTGTTCATAATCATTGTCATTAACAAACACTTATCAAGGACTGCAAGCATATATCAATACATGTATAATAATGTAGTAAATATATTTTTCCTTTGTATTTCCAATGGAAAACGGACCTATTTTTTATATATGTAAAAAATAGGCTGGTTTCTATTTCGTCCGTCCGCGTCTGTTGCACCCTGCCTGGACGCACTGCTCCCTACGCGTGTTATACGGACGCATTTCTTGGGCCACTTCCATTCACCCTCCATTGAGAAAAAGGAAATAGAGATGAAACAGACACGTTTGGACGGATACGTAGTACGTTTTTCGAAGCAGGTGGAGTCGGGGCCTAAGTGGCATCACAATGGGTCAAATGCAGAGGACATAAACAAATCAGCGACATAGATTCTTCCGTGCTTGTCCATATTGTTGATCTATTGTAGGATAAGAAAAAAGACCTAGTTTCTACTTTGCATACTGATCAGGCATAACATACATATACATACGTCAAAAGCTACTCCAAGCTTTGTGTCACTGTTCCCATCTTTTTGTCCACAGCAGGTAACAAATGGTCCCTGCATTGTGACCCAGGGCTAATGGACGGTGTGTCTGAGGGACAGAGGCTGATGCATGCTAAGAGCATCTGTGATATTTCCCTTCATACTCTGGACCTAGCACCTCTGATGGATTGTACAAAGCCAGACCAGTCTGAACCACACCATTATACAAACGTTTCTACATATACAAGGGTCTGGAAGTCTGCCGTCTTTCACCACATGTACTGTATCAACAACAGAAGTCCACCCATGCACTCTGCTCGCGTTCAGTTACTCTATTCCTAATCTGTATTAAAACCAGTCAATCAACATGAGGCGGATCCCATTTTGGATTTTGGTCCAAAGCAAGGCTGCATCTGAAATAAGCAAGAATACTGTACCTTAAAACAGTTTCCCTTTTTAAGACGGGGCAGCTCATGTTCCTGGCTCTCCTGCATTGACTGGGCATGCAAGAGTGCCTTCGGTATCTGGCAAATAACTAAACTGGTATTATACAGGGCATACTGTTGGCCAATATGCATTATCCTTTTGATAAATAGTGATTAGTCAAGCCTTTCTAATTAGACCTTAGGAAAGAAAGGCAGCATATTAATTTCTAGAATTGCCAAACAGTCGCTCAGTTGGTAGAGCATTGGCTTTAAGCCCAGAAGGTCGTGGGTTCAATTCCCACCTCTGCACCTTCTCCACCGACTCCCACTGATGACTGCTGTCGTTGTGTCCTTGGGCAAGACACTTAACCCCACTTTGCCCAAAAACCCCCACTGAACGATCAAGGCTATGCTCACACTCAGAGAGCAGCCGTCCTCCTGTGGACTCACCACCTGCAGAGGGTCAGTGAGGGGCTGGTGCTATGAGACTTGGGTGGCATCTCTGACTGCCACCCCCCTGACCCAGAAATGGATTAAAGGGTAGAAAATGGATGGATGGATGGATGGAATTGCCAAACACCTTCTCCTTCTCTATTCATGGCGCCAACCGCGTGTGAAAGCATGAACCTGTCAGACATCTGAAGCTAAGCAGGGCAGGGCCCAGTTAGTAATGTGATGAGAGTCCCTGGTATCACCTGGTGCCTAAACCTTTTTTGTGCCCTTAAGTTAGACACTTAACCCACATTGATCATCAGTATGAGCCAGGTGTGTGCGCGGGTGGACATACATAAGCCTGCCTTGCTTCTATAAGTGTGCCCCAGAGCAGCTGTGGCTACAGTAGTAGTTCATCACCACTGTGTATGGAGTGAATGAATAATGACATATACATTTTTTTTTTAAATTATTATTACTTATTATTTGTATAATTATTATCTCTGTGTAGTATTGTATACCATTCCTTTGTATTTATTGATGTTGTACATATGGCTTTGGAGCTTAGTCTGGCAGAAATATAGCATGACTTATGCTGAAGGGAATTGAATGTTGAATTGATGGAAGTTTAGGGAAGGATGGTGACCAGAGGAGATATTTAAATTCACGTCTGAACCTTTGCTATAGCTCCATAACACTTAAACAGCTGGAGGCTTTCCGCAAAAATGCACTGTGTGGAAAAACCCATTTGACAGGATAACGTATAAGGATCAGGCGCAATATTTGATAATCAATGTTTTCTAAGACAACATTTTGTTATGTTTTCAGGATACCCCAAGACCTGGGAATGGGCACCACAAAAGGTAAATGATAATAAATCTGCCTTACTGTGAAGAAGGGTGACCACTTTCAACTATTTGCTACATTTTTATGATATTGCTGATATATGATATGCTTGAACTTGATGAAAGTCTGTTCTGTCTACGTGTTTTGCGATTCTTTGTTAATGTCAGATAAAGGCTTGGGGCTTTGCTATTGTTACCAATGTCTTTGTGTCAAGCAACTTGTGTGGCTTGTTTGTTTTTTGAGTAAAATTATTGTCTCTGAAACCAACAATCCTTATATGGGTAGACATCAGATGGCCTGGACACACTCTGGTGCTCCATGGATTGCCCTGGTCAGCCCGCCAGGTGGACCAGCTCACGGACAATCTTTTAAACCAACATCACTAGGACTTAGGATGTCTATATGACACGGAAATAATACAATGTTTTTAAATTTTATTTTATTTTGTCATATGGATTAATTTAAATGAACCAACATTGCTCCCATGGTAGTAGTAAATGCAGTTAATTATTATGAAATGCAGAGGAAAGTTTTTAGTGTTAATAAAATTAATTATACTGTATAAAGTCATAATCATATTAGTTCATTCACTTAGTTCCTTAGTTACTTGTAGCATTTCAACAGGGGGCATAAGATCTCTCATAAACATCCATACACTTTACATGAGCTGCAGAGAGCAGAAAGTGGTACAAAAAGGCAATGGTAAGGGTGAAACCAGAACCTTACCACGGCTCCAGAGTCACCTCTGAAATAGTGATGTTGCAGCTGTTCATGGGCTAATATCTGGCAACAGACATTTAGGTCTTTTACAGCAAAACCACAACTGATCCGAGACCAGCGTTCTCATTGAGCTTACAGGCAGCACCAGGTACAGGACACAGCACTCAACTAAATCTTATCAGGACTAAAACTACATGATTTAACTTACTAAATAATACAAATTTTACTACTTATAGACTGGAGGATGTGGTCCTATGGGGTATTCAGTTGTATATCTAAGTAGCACAGCATATTGTGCACAAATTTGACTGCCGCATCTGTGACACTTGATTTCGTGTAACATGTGGTGGCTGCCGTCCTTGGCTCTCCTGTGTGGGCTTTCTGCTGGCCTCCCACTGAGGCTCCCATGGGTTCTTGATTGGCTCAGCCTCTCTCCCCCTCAGACCGCTCCCTGCTGGATGCTAATGGGCCGCGCTGTGATATTTAGTATGGAGGCCATGGATGTTTAGAGTCTGCAGCAGCACCTGCTGTGAACTGGTCTGTGTCTGTGTCCAATGAGCAGGAAAGTGTCTTGCATAATGAACGCACTATTTAGCCTTATTTTCACTGTATACAGTATGTTATTTTTGTAATGTTGAAAACGTTGCCATTTAAAAATGATCCATGTGATTACACAGTGAAATCATTATAAAGTTGCTCCTGTAAATCAATGGAGAAGAGAGTAAAAGATTCACAATAAGGAAGACAAATGAAACATCCGTTATCTCGACTGGGCTGACACAGTGGGACCATTTCAAGGACTCCCTCGTGATTGAAAGTGATCATCAGGCCATTGTTTTCTTCTTATAAAGAATGAGTGAAAGTTGCTATTGTTTCAGTTAGGGCTGGGTGATTTTGCCCAGGCTATTGCCCCCTTTTAGACCTTTTAGATTTGTAATAAAAACAGTATTATATTCAAGTTTCAAATAGATTTTACATTAACCTCCCAAACTTATTGAAAATGATTTTGTTCAGATTCCGACGTCTCAATAATATTCCAAGTTGTGCATTTGGTGGAAACTCTTCCTTGTGGGCTGCCATATTGCTTGCACTTGTTTTGTGGTTTAACTTGATTAAACTATAGAGGCCTGACGAAGTGGAGGCGGAACTTGTCACATCCTAATTTTTCACAAAATTGCGTTAAATCCATGATGACTCAAATTATTCGAGTTTATTGCCCCATCCTAATTCAAGGAAATGCCAAGGTCACAGTAGTCATGTTGCTGAATGTTTGTAAAGTCTTTATCTCAATCACCAGTCCCCTGCCTTGACTTGACAGAGCCCAACATGTGGGGTAATTTCTATGTCAGGAGATAATCTTATTTATTGTGGTCACAGGGATAAGAAAATAGGACTATATTTTACAGTAAAAAAAAAAAAATTACTGTGCAGCACTCAGGCCTCACGGAAAGAAGGTTGTGAGTTGATCCTGTGTCAATCCGGGCCTTTCTGAGTGGAGTTTGCATCTTTCTGTGAGTGGGTTTCCTCCGGGCGCTCCTGGTTTTCCACAAAATCATGCATCATCTAGCTCTGGTAGTCTACAACATCTGGAGATGGGAGTCCTATACTACAGAATGGGTCAAATGCAACTTAAGTATACCCTAATTTGAACCTTGTCTGACAATTGCATTTCTTTATCAAAAAAGAGAGGAAAAAGGAGGTATTATTATGTGTGTTTAATTGAAAGAAGAATAGTCCCACCTGTTCTTTTGTTGGTGCGTGCGTCAGCCCATTGAAGTTAATAACGTGTCGGTGGCTCACACCTTCAAACGCAATGCTCAAAGAACTTATGGACATTGCATAACAGTGCATTTATTGGACAATTCTGTGCTATGTTTGTACAGCTCTGCGGGGCCAGCTGCTGTGGAAGAGACCAATGGAAACAAAAGACAAAACGATCACATCAGCGACGAAATGTGTGTCATTGCCAGTCTGGAGAAACGGATGGAAGAGCTGGAGATGGTACGTAAGGCATGTGGATGAAACCAATAGCCTTGAGTAAATCCAAAAATACACTAATCAAGTTTCAAGAAAATCCTTTGTGCATCTTAAAGAGAACTGACTTTGACATTTAATGTTGCAGAATGGCATAATTTCTATGTGGATAAACATGAATAATGCATAAAGGAAGGGTATCAAGTGGGAAAATGCTTCCATCTATTGGTAGGAAAGGGGAAATCACATTTGCACTATTTTAGTAAACATAACATATGAAATAATGCTGTTGTAAAGAACATCATTCTAGTAGTGAGAGACTACTCATTCACATTAGTTTGTTGAGACTTTTATACTTCATATGACGTATTGCACTGGTTTATGGTCAAACAGATTATAATATGGACCAAATGTTGTGAATTTATACCTGGAGCTTTGCATCTCACACACATGCTGTTGACGTGTGATATAATTACGATGAATTATAGAATAATTTGAAAATGGGAGATATGGCTTTTGTTGAAGGTATTTTGTGTTTCACTTGAGCATTTAGGACAAAGTATGCTCTTTCAGTAGAGGTATACTGACTTATGTTTCAAAGACACCAGGAGGATAGGCCAGATTAGTTGAGATTTAACAGTTTAATGCTCCACTTTCTTTAGTAGATTTTCTGCACAGTCCTGGCTGTAGAATTCCTTGGGCCTGATTTTAGTCACAGGAGATGACCTTTCAGACTGTTACGTCCCTCCCACACTTAGACACTCAGCCCAGCCACTAAAGATGCAGCATTACATCTAAGTCAGCTACTGTAAGAAATTGAATTTTTAATTTGGTGGGAAGGCAAGAGGATTATGTTGAGAGTTTGTTTAAATGTTGTGTCTGTATATATACAATATGCTTTTATGTAAAAAAGGAAGTTGGTAAGTTAGTATAAATACTATGCACATCCTGCTGGAGTAAGAATAGATTGTCAATTGTAAGTAGATTTATAGCATCATGTATTTCTCCATAGAGGATTTGGTTACTTGCTCCATTGGTTCCTATGGAAATACACTCCTGCTGAGTCTCATCATGCAAGGCAAGGAGGCGAGGATGAAATTTTGAATTTGAATCCCAATCTCTGCAGCAGGATCAAAATCACATTATACGCATGTCTAAATGTTGTCTGTTTTAGGACTTGGACAGAGAAAGGCAAGAAAATGCTCTGTTGCTTAAGGCACACCAAGAAAAGGACGACCTCATCTGCAAACTAAGAGAAGAAATCGACCTATTGAACAGAGTAAGTGTTGCCGTGTTTCAGTTTTAGTTTTTTTCTCTTTCCCAGATGATTTGTGGCTCTAAAATTGCCCCCAGCTTTTTCGCGCAACGGTGGGAAATTTTCCTGCAATCTTTCCTGTAATCACTGATTTTGATGTCAATATTTTCACAGCGTGACACATCTGTTATTTTTCCAACCTTTGGTATGGCACAGGCTGATCTATAATTCAAAATAATACATTTTTACATTTTCTTGTGTCATAAATAACAAAGCATTGAAATAATCATTAGACTGTCATTTAAGTTTCTATTATTATTATTATTATTATTATTAATATTATTATAGATAATACAATAGATAATGTTAAGTTAACAGAACTGGTGCAAAGAATAGACTGGAGAATAAAATAATGTATAATATAGATATTGTATACTATAGGCTTCAAAGGTTAAACAAAATAAATGAAAAAAAAATGCATTGGTTTTGCATAGATAGTGGTATTAAACTATTACTGTAGCCACAGCTGTCTTGTGGCAGACTGCCGGAAGTGAAGCAACCATTAAGTGACATCTGCCCCTCCGACCACCACCATTCGTTCATATACACCAGACCCACACTAGGCAATATTGGTGAAGTTTCTTGCCAAAGGATACAATGACAGTTTGGCACTTTACGTTCGCAGAGGTCCCCCATCATAGTACTCACCAGGCCCTGCCCTGCTTAGTCTCAGACGTCTGACGGGATCTGGCTTTCACATTCTAAAAGCCTTCTCTGTTCACAATAACATAATTTACTGATTTAGTTTTTCTTTTTCTTTGAGAAAAACTTGAAGCCACATGTTCAGTCCACTGAACCAATCCTCTGCTGTTCTCTGGTCTGCTGGGCTAATATGACCTGAAAGTGCAATGCTGCAGAAGATATCTTATTGATAGCATCACATGCGCAGGAAGCTGGCTTTTTGAGAAGACAGTAACATGTTGATAGCCATCACAAACGTCTCACAGGGAATCTGCTGCAAGGTCTGATGGGAAAGTGTGAGATAAGGTCTGATCCAGTCACACAAAGGTAGAAGCCTGTACGACAACTTGTATATTGTAAATAGTAACTGTAACTCTATTTTAAATTAAAATTTATTCCTTATAAGTGTTTTTTATTCTTTTTTATTATCTCTTTCTGACTGTTGCACTGAGCCAAAGCAATTTCCAAGTCTGTGACTTCCTGTAACTTACGTGGCAATAAAAATGATTCTGATTTATTTAGCACGGAAAGGAATGGATTAAACCCAGCCACTGAACCACTTTCAGCCACTTTGAAGTAGAGGTGGGCAATACATCGAATTTAGGCAATTAATCGGCTTTTGAAAAAATCAAATTTGTGAAAAATGTGAAAATTGTGAAATCGAATGAAGGATATCGTGAGAGTTCCAGCAGCACATTAATTATACTTGCCATATCAGCAGAGTCTGTACAGGACTTTTATAATACATATGGGGGAAACAAATAAAAAATAGTTTTGAAACTTGAATATTGAGCGGAAAGATCAAAACATAATTTCAAGGGCAAAGTCTGTCTTCGGTGACTTTGATGAAAATCAATTTAAAATCGAAATTGTCCAAAGCAGGAAATATAATTGAGATTTTACTATATCGCCCAGCCCTACTTTGAAGAAAAAGAAACGCAGCCGGCTGTTGCTTCTGAACACAATGCCTACCTATGTAATTTGAAAAATAAATTTAATAAACCCAGAAATGGATCAACGTTTGAATTCCCTCTCCTTCCAAAGTGTTTTAAATACTGAAGTCTGATCATTCACTTTCACTCTTTTGTAGGATCTTGACGACATTGAAGATGAGAATGACCAACTCAAACAAGAGAACAAGACGCTGCTCAAAGTGGTGGGTCAGCTGACCAGGTAGAAGCCTTGAGCACAACCTCTCGCCTCCAAGAGAACATCTGCCCCGTTAGTGAGCTATGCAGAGTCAGCAATAGAAAGAAGATGGAAGTTACTTTCTTCTAATGAAAGTGCCCTCTGGAGATTCCTCTTCCACGTATGTACTACGATTGTGGGAAGTTTTCAAAACACATTGAAGGTGTTAATGATGTACTTTCTATAGAAAACTATCAGACACAAATGTCAATCATTGAGTTAAAGGTGCATTTCACATTGGGACCACCTTGTTGCCATGGATTTACTGCTGCTTTGCTTTGATGTTCCTCAGTGCTATTAACTATGTAAAATATTAAATGAGGTGTTTTAGATATGAGCTGCAACCTCGCCTAGTGATTTATCTCGCCTAATGTTCAATAGAATGGCAAAGTTGAAACCATACTGAGGAGGTTTTACTTAAAGCAAAGGCAAGTGGGGGACCCTCCACCAAGGGTTGTGGAATGTGCATTTTAATTACAGCTCATCAATGCAAATGTACAAACATATATACTGCATAATTTTTTTTCTACTCTAAGCATATTTTAACTAAAATCTCAATTTGTGTAAACCTTTTGATTCATTGCACAAGGTGTGTCCCAGACTTGTTAATGGTGAAAATGGTGAAATTATTCACACAAACATATGGTTGTTAAAACTGCCCCATGTTCTGTTTTTTTTGTAAACCATTGTCAGGTTGGTTTTCATCTTGTGAAAGAGGCAAACATTTTGTTTATATAATATACAAATTTTATCTGAAGGAATGCTAATTAAAATGTTTACTCAAGGGAAAGAATTTTGCTATTGATATTTTTCAATAGTTTTTTCTATTGTGACGTACTGCACTGTTAAGACAATCCTGGTTTGCCGTAAATTCCACTTGCGATAGCAATTGGACTTGGGAAGGATGAAGGCCGTCCTCTGGCTGACACACTCAAATCTCTCTCCCCATTGCATTATGCATGTACAGGAGATTAAGTCATTTAATAAAAGTTTGATTATCTCTCTCCTCTGCCGACTCGCTGTGTTCATTAAGACTAATTTGATGTGATGATACCATGCCACTGAGCCGGTAATGTGATACGACTGAGGTCTGAGCTCCTCACACACTTTTTCCATACACACACACACAGATGATGATTCAAATGCCAATCACTGCACTGCATGGGGGTGTAGGAGCCATCATCCTGAGACAAGCCTCCAACAGCCTCCATTACGGCCCCTAAATACACAAATCTCCTCACCTAATGGCAGACCGCAGAGGGACTGCTCTATAAAGCCACATCAGAAATACGTAATGCCGATGCATTTTCAATAAGGGATCTTTTACAGCTGATGCTGTAAGTTGCTGAGGTTTTCTCTTACCCATGAGCATGTTTATGGAAGTTGTGGGATATCACATTAATACATTTTATTTTTACGGCACTTTTCTAAAAACTCATTGCTATACTTGAAGTGTAAAGTCAGATACAATAGGAAATTTACTCGAAATAAATTGTTTTTCTCACAGATGATCTTGTATAAAAAACGTCACTGTCATTACCAATTGCTCGTCAAATTACTAAGACTTGCAGCAAGTTAGGTTAATGTCCTGTGTCATAACAGCTCTTAAGTATTTTGTTGGCAATTAGGCCTTTGTGTCATGTTTGGGACAAAGAAGCCGATGTTCTGCAGTCAATGACGTGTATGTATGTTGCCACGTGTTCATGTGCTGTCTCACAAGAGTAATGACCAATGTATACTATTATTGTTCATGTATTCATGTCATTTATATTTGACCAATGTAAGAGTCAATGTGGACTCTTGGGAGACAATTGTATAAAGAGGAAAGTAATACTGAAAAGGAGTGGGCAGAACTAAAGGGCTGTTTTGTGTGCCAACCCTCTCATCTAAATTGTTTTTTTTTTTAGATGAACACCTTTTTTTTTATTAATAAAATAATATTGATCACAATTGGTATCAGTTTGGTACAAAGGTTGGGCATAGTATAAAGTTTGTAATTTCTGATTCATGAAGTGTTACTGTTTAGTTGTTTTGCACCACAGTGCCCGCTTCTTATCTTGGAGAAATGTGGCATTATTGAATTATCTATTGGTTTCATACACTGTTTACCTGCTGAGCCTCAGGGCTGCAGCTGAAGGAGGCGCTCATCCCCACAGGCGCTGAGCGCAGGTCAGAACACACCGGTTTCACAGAAAACCATGAGGCATAAGGGACATGACCTCAGCTCACATGTTCTATTCAAATTTATATTGTATTTAGCTTTTGATAGATTCAACTGAAATGTGTGTTTCAAAAACAAAAAATATTTATAAAATGAGTTTCTGATACCTAATATATACAAGTGAAGGCAAGTTACTTTCTTAATTCTGTCACCTCTGAGATATTGATCCATGCTTTGGTCACAAGACTGGAATATTGAAATGCCCTATATGTCATCAGTCACTCCCACTCGCCCCTGTTCAACAGAGTTTACTTTTAAATATGTTTTTGTTTGTAAATGCCTCAATGGTCAATATCTTTTTGACCAGTTGTTTTCCTCTGTCAGATCTGTAGACCAGGATTTGCTTGAACCTCGGTCCTAGAGAAAACTTATAGGACACTGCTATTTCGGCTTTGGGTCCAAGTTTGTGGAATGAGCTGTCACTAATTCACTACAGCTTTTGAATCACCCTTTTATTTGGCGTTAAACTATAGGGGATGGTCTTTCTTTGTTATTTTTCTGTATAACACAATATCTGCATTTATTGTATTGTATCATATTTTAATTAACCTGGTTGATTCTGTGTTTAATAATGCTGATTGGATTCATCATCATCATAATCAACATTTTGCACTTAAGAGTTTGTTTCTACTGCTAGGCCAGAATCAAGTGTATGTTTAGGTTCTCATGGATGGATCTTGCATCCCCACACACCTGGCTTGTTTCCATGGAAATGTGATCCTTTGGCTATAATGCCTTATATCTTCTTATGTTGCCACATTTCCTGTTTTTTTTTCACACCCTGAGTGATCTTATTGAGGCCTAATGTAACATGTAAATTGCTCCATTGTGAGATCAATAAAGTTGTATTTTATTCTAATTATTTGTGTGGAGTTTGCATGTTCTCCCCGTGTTTCCTCTTGACAAATTAAAGGGAATATTCTCACTGAGCTCCTGACCAAACAGCATCAGGGCCCCAAGACGCTCATGGTTGTCATTTTTCACTTTGCGTCAGAGTGAAAGTACATCACTTAAGTATTAATACTTAAGTTCAATAAAAATGTATTGGTCTGGTGAAATCAAGAACATTTAAATCATACATTAAAGAAATGTTGTAAAATGTATTCACATTTTGTTTTGACCAGTTTCTCTTTACATAATCCTACTTTACATTTCTTCAGATGTTTCAGGTCAGCTGTGCTCGTTTCATTGCTTTTGACAGACAGCCAACACATATTAATCTAAGCGGAATGGTGGAAAAAAACAAGTCTCAACACACTGCAAAGGCATTTTTCTCAAGCCCTCGACCGCATACAGCTCTGGCCTTTTCGAAAACGCCATGTAAATGTCATCGAAATACTAGCACACTTTACAAACAGGGGGAGATCAGCTAATGGCAGTCCAAAGGCTTGGCATTTGCCATAATTACATTATTCAACTATATTGTTCCCAAAAAGGATTGGGAACCTTATTGTTGTTTCAGCTTTATTGTGGAAATTGCAGCAATAGTTGGACGCGGTGGCTTTATGTCCCTGCCATTTTTTTTGGGAAAAACCATTATTATTTAAACATGTTTTAAATATGTCCAAGAAATAAGGCAACAAATATGAATTGCTAAATTAATCAGCAATGATTAATTTCAAAACATGCAAGCTCTAAACTTGAGGATGAGCTTTTTAGTATTCAGTAAGTGATTTAATTCGTTTTTTGCAACAATTAAGTTATGTTAGAAAACGGCAAAATAATCGTGATTTTTATTTGTGTATTACTTGCAACGGTGGATACAGGAAGGTGGCAGACTTAAATGTTTTAATCTGTCTCTCTTTGGAATCTTGTTTCACAAAATGCGCTATATACATAAAGTGGATTGTATTGATTTCCACATTAATATTCCCATTTACTTATGCTGTAATGTTTCACTCTTGCTTTCCTAACTGTTCTTCCCCCGAGTACAAACACACACACAGACACACGGAGACACACACATACACAGAAAACCCCCTTGCATTGAACAAGCACAATGACAGACCCTGCTGGGAATAAAGTCGTCCGTTCCCAAAGATCTCCCGTGTTCCTGCTCATCGTTGCTATGGATACCGGATATGGGCTGTATCACCATCAATCTTCAGGAAGGAAAAAAAGCCTGTTTGTTCAATTACACCAAACCTCATGCCATCTGATGTGATGCTGTGCGTGTGCAAGGATTCTCCATCAGAAAGGGAATGCTAATGTCACGCTGAGAACAAAATGCCAATGTATCGACTGCTGCTGCTGCATTTACCACCTGCTGCCGTCTAATAGCTACTGAAAATATGACAGAGGGAATCGATTCTTTAAAGCAACAATAAAATGATCAGAACGTCTCATAAACAAGCATTATTACTGACAAATAAAGGTCACATTGAGCGAGATACCTCCTGTGGGGCTAGTGTTCCAGCTCAACTGTCCATGGTCATCGGACTTGTGTGCCGCGTTAACCCTTGAGGCACCAGAGGGTTTTGTTTCAGATATCTCATGTGAATTTGAAGGGATAGAGGACAGATTATTGCCATGTGGTCATGTATTGGCTCGTGTGCTGAGCAGGGAGCAGTCTCGGCCTGGTGTGTCATCTCTTCTGAGTGTTTTGGTATTATGTAATTTGCATTGTTCCCATTGTGTCATTGTTTTTAATATTTAGACTAATACTTTGTTGTTATCGTTTGAGTCTTGTGTGTTCACAGCGTTAGGGTTATGATTACAGGGTCTATACAATTTAGAAAATAATAAATACATATATATATATATTGTCA